GCGACTGGGTTAAAGCTCCGTGTTTTGACTTTTCAAATCACTTTTTCCATTTCTCTTCTCTCTCTTACTTTTCCAAAAACCCCATTGTTGAGCTTCTCACTCTAGGACTCTACCTTCTCTCTAGGTATTGATCTAGTAGAAGTGATTTGCTCACCTTTGGCCTTTACAAAAGTTGTGTTGATCGTCGAGGGCTACATTTTAATCTAAAAATTTCAGAATTTGGAGCATTTTAGTTTTGGTCTTCATCTCCTTTGGAGCTCAAACTTTGAGATAGAGATATCCTACTCCTTTCTATGAGTTTTGTCTTTAAATTTTAGTATTTTGAGATGTTGGGGTTGGTTTGGTAATTTGGTGAAAATTTGGGGCTTTTGTGTAAATTTACAAAGGTTGGGGTTTTAGCTAAATAAAGCCTAAATGCATGTTTGGCATGGAAAAAGTGAAATTAATGATAAAACATTAATGAAAATGGGACCTAAGGGTTGTAATGTTAATTATGGAAAATGCCCTAATTACATTGATTGATTAATTTGTAGAATTAATTGTTGGAAATGAGGAATTGAGTTGAGAATGTGGAAATTGGAAAAGGAAGGGGTTAAAGGGTGTAGTTGGATTATTTATCGCTCACCTAGTTGAAATGTCGATTGTTTATCCATTTGTTGCATTTATTTCCTGAATAGAAATAATTGTTTTGGGCTATCGGTGGAGGATGGTCTTGATTGTTGTAGACAATGCATGATGATTAGGCAAACTGAAACTAATCACTGGAATGTGCCATTGAGTATGACGGTTGAAAGAATACATTAAATTTGTGTATTGTGTGATGATGTGTATAATTATTGTTTATATGCATTGTGTTGTGTTGGAGGAGGTAGGGGATGTACTCCACGGTTTAGGGGAAGATAGGGGATGGACCTCTAAACCGGATGTGTAGGGAGGAGATAGGGGATGGACTCCATAGATAGAGCTCATATGCTTATCTATTAATGTGTTGGCAGAGCTCATATGCTTGTCATTGGAAGTGTGATAGTGCTCATATGCATATCTGTGGAATTGATGATATAGCTTGTATGCTTATCTGTTGGTTTGTGATATAGCTAGTATGCTTATCTATTATGAAGTGGGGAAGTTCTTGATATGAGTTATTGTCTCATATGAATTGTTTGGTCAGGTTCTGAGCCATGGTTTTAAAATGAGAATTGAAAGGAATTGGAAAATGAATTGTAACATGGACTTGCATGTCATGAAACTGTAAAGAGTGATAAGAGAAAGTATCAGTGTTGGCCATCTATCAACTGCTAATCTTTTCGTCATTGTTCATATTTGGTTTAGTATATCTCTACTGGGCTGTGGCTCACCCTATATGGGAACATCATTTTCAGGTACAGGTAGCATGCCACCTCCAAGGACATAGCTTGGGAGGCTAGAGGCGGACACACTTTTGTCGTTTTATTCTTGACGTATTACATGTAAATTCAAGCCAAGGGCTTAATGTGTAAATGAGTTAGTATTCTTTTGTTGTAACCAAGTGTTAACTTGGAAAGCTGTAAGCCTTTAGGGCATTTGCTTTTGTTGTTAACATGTAATACTTTTTTTGTAATGAAACTCTGATAAGTGGAAGAATGTTTACCTTTATTACCAATTCATGTCTATATTGATGGGTTTAATGTTATTATTTTGAGGGCGTTACAATCTATCATCATTGTAATTCCTTCATTGAGAAATATAATCAACAACTCTAATTCTATTTAGTGATCAGTTGGTTCTCTTGACAAGCAAGAGTATTTTGGTCTACTATTATCTATGTAGCTGTCAAGAAAGTAACATCAATTTCTGTGGATGTTCTTGAAGACACTAGAGTCCATCACCAAATTTGAAATGATTAAAGACTATGAAATTAGACTGGTTTGATGGGGGAAATTTTCAATGCTAACAAAAGAAAATGCATTGCCTCACTACAAAAAAAAGTATTTTTGGCGACTAAATTTTTAGTCGCCAAAAGCCCGTTTTTAGTCATCGAAAGTCGAAATTTTACTTTCCCTGACAAAATTTTTTAGTCGCCACATTTGTCGCGTGTACATGGTCCGCGGAGGTATTGGCGACTAAAACTTTTTTAGTCGCCAAAATACAGGTCTTTAGCGACCAAAGTTTTAGTCGCCAATAGTGTTTTACACTTTTGAAAATCATACATTTACCGACTAATAATTTAGTCGCCAAAACTCACTTAAACGCCGACTAAACCATTTAGTCGCCAAAATAAAGACTTTTGGCGACTAATAATTTTAGTCGCCAAAGGTGTTTCCGTCGAAAAAAAAAAAATACCCACTTTTTTGTTTTTTCTGAGTTTCGAACCGCCAACCGTCCCACATTCCAAACCTTTAGCAACACACTCCCTCCACTATGCCACTACAACATCACATGAATATATATATGCAATAGATATTATTTATATAGTATATTGACCGGTATTAATACAAAACAACATATATAAATATAATTACTTTTATTCAATATAATTTATGTAAAAAATAAATTATTTACTAAAAAAAAATTTAGGCCACTTTTGGCAACTAAATTAAATTTTTAGTCACCAATTCTATAATTTTCGGCTACTAATTATTTTTTAGTCGCTAAAAAATTAAGTTCCACCTAAAAGTAAAGCAGTTTTGGCTACTAAACCTGTTTTTAGTCGCAAAAAAATCCCCTTTTGGCTACTAAACTGAGTTTTAGTCGGCAATTGACTGTTTTTAGCTACTATTTTTTTTTTGTAGCCAAAAAGCTTCACTTTCAGCGACCAAACTGTTTTTAGTCGTCAAAACACCTATAATCGGCGACCAAGCTGTTTTTTAGTCGCTAAAACCATCACTTTTGGCTACTAAATTATTTTAGTCCCCAAAAACCGTGACTTTTGGCTACTAAACAACCTTTAGTCGCTAAAACCCCTATATTCGGCGACTAAACTGCCTTTTAGTCGCTAAAACCCTTATATTTGGCGACTAAACTCTTTTAGTCGGCAAAAGTGATCAATTTTGGCGACTAATTCCATTTTAGTTGCCAATTCTATTATTTTCAGCGACGAAAAATGTAATTTTAGTTGCGAAATTTGCTTTTTGTTGTAGTGCCTGCTCACCACTTTCAAAGTAGTCTATGTGTTAACCACCCCATACCTATGGACAGAACTAAGATTTGAGGTTTGGGGGGGCAAAAACATATGTAACTTTTCATCGAAAAAAATTATTATAAAATTTTAAATTTTGATTTTTATTAACACAAAAAAATGAATAATATTACTATTACTTAGACATTATTTGTCAACATAATTGAGAACAAAAATATAATTAGACATATTTCTTATCTGCATTAACTTAACAAAATATTAACTATTACTATGTATCCGTCTAGTAAAGTTAACTATTTGAAAATGTTGTAATCATCACTTTTTATAATACATATAAAAACATCTATGATAAGCTCGACATCAAAACTTTAATTAATATTTTTCTCAATAAATATGATCAAGTAATTTGTTAGAAAATGAACAAATAAAAATGAATGCAAAATAAGATGCATAAGCAAATTAAAGGGTGATTTATAAAAGAAGAAAAAAAACATGAATGACATATGAATAGAAAACAAGAATAATAACAAATAGAAACAAATAAAAGAATACAAGTAATAACAGTATAGAAATACAACAAATAATACAGATAACAAATAGAATAGATTAATATTTGATAAAATTCAATTTAAAAACTATTTTTAAAATTTTGTAATGTAAATAATTTGAAAGATGTGAACTACTGATATTTTGAGGGTGTGAAATACTCTAATTTAAAATTATCTTACCAATTATTAATATAATATACATAATTTTAAAAAAAAATTAAGGGTACGGCCGCCCTATCTGCACCTCCCTATATCCATCATTGTCCATACCCAAAGGAACAAGAGGACGATATGGTGGAACAAACTTGTACTAAAAGCAAATGGGAAATAACCATTGTATCTATAGAGGATACACTTTGAATGCGTTGTTAGGCTCACTACTGGAAGTGTACCAGTATGTGGAGACAGCAAAGCAACTTTGGGATACACTTCAATCAAAGTACCTCATTGAAGATGCCACCAATAAAATAGTTCTTATTAGTAATTTGATGCATAATAAACCCATCACGTCTCTTATACTTAACCAAGGGTCGAAGGGCTGAGCCATTTAGCTCTGGTGCAAGTGTATGAGTTTTAAACACAATTCAATTCACTCTTGCTTTATTTGGATTCACTGACTTATATGGTCTTTGATGTTTTTGTCAACCAAAAAATGTGGTTGTTTTGTTAAATGAAAAGTAATTTATTTATTTATTTTTTCAACCTTCATAATGAAACAATTTCGTGGTCACGTTAATTTTTCATGGCATCCATGTGCATGCATTATAATACTTATTAGTTGATTGTAATCAAATAAATTAGGATTAATTACACTTTTAACTTATGTAGTTTGATCTAAATTTTAGTTTAGTCTTTATAATTTCAAATTGAACAATTTAGTTTCTATACTTAGTGTAGTTTTAATTTGGTCATTCCGTCTAAATTGGAAGTTAAATTAACGATTTTTGGATACTTATCAATTTTTTAAAGTATGTACATAGACAAAATTAATAAAAATTTAGATAGAATAATCAAATTGAAATTGAACTAAAAATGTAGAGATCAATTTGTTCAAATTAAAATTATAGGAACTAAAGTAAAATTTGGAACAAACTATAGAGGTAAAAAGTATAATTAACCCAATAAATTATTATCTTAACACCCATATATTTATTGGATTCCTATTGAGATCTAGTCCTAATGAAAATGTCTCAAAGTTTAAGCTATGATATGAGTATGAGACATTTCAAACAGAAAAATAAAAAGTTTTTAATAGATAATATATATATATATATATCGATGCAAATTAGGAGTACAACTTACAGTGCAACTAGCAAAAAAAAAAAAAAAATACTTACATTGGATCAGGTAAGAGATCGAGAAAATGTCTCATGTCTGCAGGACATTTACTGTGTTGAGCACAATTACTGTCGTCTTCAGGACATTTAATGCCTTCAGGAGTTTGACGATTTGGAGGACATGGAGAGTCATTATATGTGAGGATTCTATTCACCAACTTTCTAAAATTAGTATAATCTCCTTTCACTTGGGCAACTTCTTGTTCTTTTTGTTTTTCATTAATCAGACGTACTCCCAATCCCTTGAATTTGGGCATTCCATTCGATATTACAACGTTGTCAATCGTAAAATTACCATCCACGCAATAATTCTTCTTGTGCAAGTGCATCAATGCATACAAGAGATGCCTGACAAGTCAACAACAAGCCCATATATAAAGCGGCTTTTAAAAACAACTATTAAGTAAATCATAACTTCAATAAAAATAAAAATAAAAATAAAAAAGAAGAAGAAGAAGAAAAGAACCTGATGTAGTCAATAACATCCATTGATATTTTATAGTGATCCGCGGTAAAACCTTCAGGTATATAACGTTTGTATTTTTGAACCGAGCTTAATGATAACCAATCAGAAAGGGTATACTGCCAAGGTTCATAAATAATTTTCTTATTTGTGCCATCAACAAAATAAGCCCTTAAGAAACCTATGTGATTCACCCGCATGGCGGCTATCTGGTGAATATCGGCTTGGCCTGGATCGGAAGCTGTAATTTTCACATCTCTAGGGATTGTTAGCGTTCCATTTTGGTCATCTGGCGCATTTCCATGAATATTGTACCTTACTTCCGCACGTTTTTCCACCATTGAAATCCCTAAAACAAAACTAAGGTATAACATTAACACAAATGAATGGAAAATTCTCCGCATATGCAATCCTATACAAAATTACATAATATTCAAGAATTTATATAAGTGATCTTACAAAAATATATATGTTACATACAAATTTGCATAATCACATAAGTTTTTATGAACTTATACTAATTTTGTGTTCAAATTACACATTTTTGGTATGTAAATTCATAAAAATTTACGTAATTTGTATAGAGCTGCATATCTTGTAAAAAATTGACAAATTCAAATCTTATGTCAAATTTGACTTAAATTTTGACCAAATCATTTTTCATACATCAACTAAATCAAATCATGATTACAAAAACTTTTTTGAGAAATAAATCCAATAGCAAAAAATTGATATAAAAAGTGACTATTTTAGTTAGATTTTTAACTTTTTATAAAAAGGAGGACAAAAAAATAGAAAAAATAATTAACTTTTAATAGTGATTTTTTGACTTTTTAATTATTTTAACTAATTCCCAAAATATAATTGTGTCAAAATAGGGGTTTACATCCTAACATACCCGTTTCAGTAAGTAAATCCAACACATACTTTCGTTGTGACAAATAAATGCCACTACTAGAGCGAGCCACTTCAATGCCTAAAAAATACTTCAGCCCTCCCAAGTCCTTCATGTCAAACTCAGAAGCCAAATACCCTTGCAGCTTTTGAATTTCATCAGTATCATCACCCGTAACCACCATGTCGTCAGCATAGATAACTAACAAAGTAATCTTACCATCCTTTGTTTTTTTAATAAACAAGGTATGATCAGAATTTCCTTGATGATACCCATATTTCTTCATGGCATTTGTAAACCTCCCAAACCATGCTCGTGGGGATTGCTTCAAGCCATATAGAGCCTTACGCAACTTGCAAACTTTCCCTGAGCCGTTAACTATCCCATAACCAGGTGGAAAATCCATGTATACTTCTTCTTCCAAATCTCCATGTAAAAAGGCATTTTTGACGTCAAACTGCTTCAAAGGCCAATTCAAATTAGCAGCTAAGGATAGTAATACTCTAATGATATTCATTTTTGCTACTGGCGCAAAAGTCTCATGATAATCCACGCCATATGTTTGTGTGTACCCCTTTGCTACTAACCTCGCCTTGTACCTATCAATCGTCTCATCAGCTTTGTGTTTGATAGTAAATACCCATCTGCACCCCACTGGTTTCTTTCCGTGTGGCAGCGAGACTACATCCCAAGTCTTATTCTTCTGTAGTGCTGCCATCTCTATATTCATAGCATCTATCCATTTTGAATCCTTCAAAGCCTTCTCAACACTATTTGGGAACTTAACAGATGTCATTTGATTCACAAAGGCTTGATATTGTGGTGACAATCTGTGAGTAAATACATATTGAGCAATGGAGTACCATGTTTTTCCTTCGGGTGAGAATCGGTCAGGTGGATGGCCTCGATTCTGTCTTGGAGGCAACTGATAAGGTCTGTCAACAATGTTAGGATTAGTAACAATATTAATGTCTACGTCACTTACCTCAGGGATATCCATAGGAGCATGAGCAGGTACGAGAGAAGGGGAATCAACAACCTCAAGGGGAACAGCCGTAGGCTCAACAGGCTGCGCAATATTCGGAACAGAATTCGGAACAGAATCTAGAACAGCATCAGAATCTGGAACAGCATCAGCGTGTGAAGTAGACTCAGTGACTGGTATAGATGAACTTGGCTTTGGTAGTGAACTGGGCTCTGGTTCAGGGGCCACTGGTTTGTTGCACACCACTCCTTCTCTATCTTCCAATGTAACCTCAAACCAATCAAGTGGTTCAAGTGTACGCAACTCCCCCTGAAGCACCGGGTTGGACAAGGTAGGATAAAAAAACATCTCATGTTCTAGGAATGTCACGTCCATAGTGACATAAAAGCGCCGAGTAGGAGGATGGTAGCATCGGTAGCCTTTTTGATGGGGAGCAAAGCTGAGAAAAACACATCGAATAGCGCAAGGATCCAATTTGCTCCGCTGATTTTTATGAAGATGAACATACGCCACACACCCAAAAATCCGCGGAGTAAGATTTAATATAGATGACAAAGGTACATGATGTGCTAAAGCTTCCAGAGGAGTGTGAAAATCAAGAGTCCGAGAAGGCATTCGATTCATCAAATAGATAGCATGGATAACAGCATCAGCCCAAAATTGTTTGGGGACCGAAGCACCAAGGAGCAAGGTACGAGCAATCTCAAGAATATGTCGATTCTTACGCTCCGCAACACCATTTTGTTCGGGAGTTTGAGAACAGCTAGTTTCATGGATCATGCCAATGTCTTGAAAAAATTGAGACAGCTCAGAATTAATATATTCCCCGCCGTTGTCAGAGCGGAACACCTTGCTAGGTAGTGAAAATTGGGTTTGGATCATCTTATGAAAGACTCGAAAAATTAGACCAACATCACTTTTATGTTTCATGACATATAACCAAGTCATACGAGTGCAATCATCCACAAAGGTAACAAACCATCGAATACTAGCATAAGTAGTAACAGGGGAAGGACCCCAGACATCAGAGTGTATTAAAGCAAATGGAACCATACTTTTATTAAAACTCAAAGGATAAGGAACACGATGACTCTTAGCTAAAATACAAATATTGCACTTAAATTCAGAGTCCTTGACATTATGAAATAACGAAGGTAGTAACTTACGTAAATAACCGAAAGACACATGACCAAGACGACGATGCCACAGCCAAATTTTTTTCATCTTCTCAGTGTCTGTCCCACGCACTTGATGAACCCGACCTGCTGCAACATCATCAACATAATATAATCCCCCTCTCTTAGTACCACGCCCAATGATCTCCCGAGTCTGGATATCCTGGAGCAAGCAAAACAGAGGAAACATTAATACTATACAATCCAATTGTTCTGTAACTTGGTTGACAGAAAGTAAATTATTGGATAATGTTGGAACAAGCAAGGTATGATGTAGGGACAATGAAGGAGTAAGAGCAATAGAACCCGCCCCTGTAACAAGGTCAGCTTCACCATTGGCTGTAACTACTCGATCTCGACGAGGAGAAGTTTCATATTGAAATAGAGATTTATCGTAAGTCATGTGATCGGTAGCACCCGAGTCAATTATCCAACCTGTGTCACGATCCTCGGAGGAGCTTAGAGCTTTTCCAGCAGCATCTTTTTGGGAGTCTTCTGAGAGAGAGAGCTCAGAAATAAGGGACAAACCTGGTGCTAGATGACCAGAATGTTGCACAGTAGGGGTGGTTGGTCTTGTGGTTGCAACTGCTGCAACCCCAGCCAGAGTGTCGGTAAGTTTCGCATGGCTTGAACGTCTAGTCGTGCGCTCAGCTTTGAGTTGCTTTCGACGCTCCAAATACCAGTCGGGAAACCCATGTTTCTTAAAGCAATTATCGGCTGTATGTCGAGTACCATTGCAAAATACACAATGCAAATCATCTTTGTTTTCAATATCAGAGAAACGAGGAGTTCGGGATGTCGGGATGCCAGGGGATTTGGATACCATGGCAACAGACGGAGTACCAATGGCACCTGCAGAAGAGAGCATAATAGTCTGACGTTGAGCCTCACGGCGGATATATGCAAAGGATTCCTCTAAGCCAGGAAGTGGTTGGATCCGCAAAAAATCGCTGCGAACTTTATCAAATCCATCTTCCAATCCTGCAAGAAAATCATAGATACGATCTTTCACAACTTCATCCCGACGAACTTTTATATCCGTAGCACAAGTCATTTTTATCGGGCGACGCTTATCAAGCTCTTGCCATATGGTTTTGAGCTCAGCAAAATACAAGGGAATCGGACGACCACTTTGTTTTATACGAGTGGCTTTGCAGCGTAGTTCGTAAATCTGTGATTCATCTGATCCATCATAATACATTTGAGAAACACCTTCCCAAACGTCAGCCGCAGTTGGTAAGCCAAGAAAGAGGCCAAGTAAATCAGGTTCCATGGTTTTCATCAACCATCCTTTAACAATAGCGTCCTCCTTTCGCCACTTTGCATAACCAGGATCAGATTGGTCCACCCGAGGAGTCTCACCTGTCAAGTAGCCGAACTTGCCTTGCCCGGCAGCATGTAATTCCATCATCTGAGACCAAATAGTGTAATTGGAACCATTCAATTTGATTCCAAATGGAATAGCAGAGGAATCATTCTGGATAGTCACCACAGGATTGGAGTTTACACCAGTTGTTATAGCAACTTGCTGATTATTATCATCCATCACGATGATTGGAGTACGTAGAAAGTAGAGTTTGTTTGGAGATTGGGTTTTTAGAGCAAGCGAACCAAGATCTAAACTGGGTTAGGAACTTGCTCTGATACCAAAACAAAAGAATGAAGTAATAAATTTTATTCTAATAAAAAATTACTTAGAGAGAATATACAAGAGGCCTTATATAGGCGTAAGAGATCTTGGAGTAGGCACCAAGTCAATACAGATATGGACAGGGAAAACTATGTAAGGAAAAAGAAAAAAAAAAAAATAAAATATTTATGGAAGTAATACAATTGGAAATAATACAACTCATGCCAACACAAACCCATATATAAAGCGGCTTTTAAAAACAACTATTAAGTAAATCATAACTTCAAAAAAAATAAAAATAAAAAAGAAGAAGAAGAAGAAAAAAACCTGATGTAGTCAATAACATCCATTGATATTTTATAGTGATCCGCGGTAAAACCTTCAGGTATATAATGTTTGTATTTTTGAACCGAGCTTAATGATAACCAATCAGAAAGGGTATACTGCCAAGGTTCATAAATAATTTTCTTATTTGTGCCATCAACAAAATAAGCCCTTAAGAAACCTATGTGATTCACCCGCATGGCGGCTATCTGGTGAATATCGGCTTGGCCTGGATCGGAAGCTGTAATTTTCACATCTCTAGGGATTGTTAGCGTTCCATTTTGGTCATCTGGCGCATTTCCATGAATATTGTACCTTACTTCCGCACGTTTTTCCACCATTGAAATCCCTAAAACAAAACTAAGGTA